AAAATGACTTACGGGTTGAAAAGCTGATGTCATGACTCAACGAATACTTGAATTTTAATGACAATTATTTTGTTAAGTGCGAACATTGTCATACTTTCGTAATGTCAAGTGCAACGACATGAGCCTCACCATAAGACTGGATCAGTTTACTCCACAATTGCGTGACATAAGCTAGGAGGTCCCCTGTGGATTGGTGCCGCAAAACCATACTGCCTGTCGCTAATCAAGCTGTGACTTTCGAGATAGTCCAGAAGCTCGCGATTTATGCACCTCTCCATCACCTTACTTATAACAGAAAGCAGAGCTATAGGCCTGTAGTTATAAGGGTCGGTCTTAGATCCTTTTTTTGGGATGGGTTGGAAATGAGCAAATTTCCAGTTTTCTGGGAATGTGCCGGATTCATAAAATATCTGGAAGAGACGCGAAAGAACTGGAGCAAGCTGCGCTGCACACCTCTTCAGTACAATGGCAGGAATCAAGTCCGGACCAGAAGCTTTGTTGATGTCGAGCGACAAGAGCACTCGTCTTACGGTCTCATGCCTGAATGTTACCTCCCGCATAGTGCACGGAACCCTTTGAATTGACGGCACTTGGGCGTTGGACGTCCATGGTGGAGTTTTCAGCAAAGATCTTGGGCCTTTGAGTCGAATACAATACTTCCATCCTGGCACGTAAGTGGTGGAAGGCTACTACGCTTCGTTATATTTGTTTCTGGACTCGACGTCGGCTTGTCTGTTCTCTACAGTGGGGTTTTGTAAGAAGGTTCTGTGTGCCTTGATCTTCTACTGGCGAGCAGTGCCACACGATTTGTTAAACCAGCCGTTGGACCCTGGTTTAGGCACCTTCACTGTGTGAGGGATGTATTCCTCCATTCCGAAATGGATAATTTCTGTTATCGAAGAACAGACAGCCGACGCATCCGTGTCAGTGAAACAGACATCTCTCCAAGGAAAGTTAGAGAAGAAGTCTCTGAGCCCCTCCCAGTCGACATGTCCGTAATGCCAAGTTTTGCGACCTGTACGAGTTTCTGCTGCCACAGCGGGTTGTGACCGAAATCTAACCTCCAGAACACCGTGGTCTGAGTTACCCAGGGGGGACAGAAAAGCAGTGCTGTAAGGGACAGGATGAGTGGTCAGAAAGAGATCCAGCAGGCTACTGGCGTGTGACGAGACGCAGGGGAAAAAAGTAGGGCTCGTCATCACCTGGGTCAGGCCTTGAGTAAGAGCGAACGCTTCGAATGCACGACTTGCTGCATCGGTCTTGTTTGAGCCCAACCAAAGCTCATTATAGGCATTGAACTCACCGAGAAGAACTACCTCCGAAGCGGGGTGATTGATGTTCAGGAAGTCGATCTGAAGGTTTATTGATAATAGAATACCTTTAACTAACACCTAGCCAAATCCAGATTCACCTCATTCCCTCAGCCCCCCTACCCTCAAAAATTATTTGGAAAATGATTAGGAAGCTTTAGTATTCAGAAATACTTTAAACGATTTTTAGTTTTATCGTTGTTTAATACTAGCTCCGCCGCCCGTAACCCCCGCCACCAAAATTTACAGCCCTAAAATTTTCTTGGAGGAATGTCTGAAACATCCGGAAGCGAAGTTTTACCATTTTTTTCTTCGTTTGTTAACCACTCTGCTGTTACTCCACCGATTTCCGAGAATATTCAAGGTTCTTTGTGCGTGGCATAACAGCAACCTAAAGCAGATTTTTTTATGATTACTTTAATTCCTGTCAATATGCGCGGTAAGTAAAGGCATCTGTCTTAAATCGTAAAACAAAAATAACATCTTTTATCTTATTCCATAGAATATTGGATTTGAGCATTACATTCGAACAATATCATCGCTGCATTACGGTACTCCCGGTCACGGCCGCTCGTGTGTAATACTTGACGGCGAACTGGGCCGTTGCAGACATAGGAAGATGAAAATCCAATCCTCTTGCAAAATAATGCCTAATACAGCGATGCCAATATTAAGGAGGACCTAAACGCGACAATCTAGATACTGAATACCCGGCAGATGACCTATCCACTGTAGACTTGATTGAAAGTATACGGGCTGAATACCCGCGCGACTGTGAGTCGACCAAATCGGCGCGGCAAAGCCCGGAACTACGGCACCCAAATTTAGCAAAAAACACGATTTGGGTCATTCCTCTGGAATTTTTCCGGGTGACAAAGGGGAGCCCCTCAGGCCGACTGGTGAAATTTGCGATAGGTCCTCCATATACGGAGGACCTAGTGCAACGGAGGACCTATCGACTTTAAAAAGCCAATAAGTGGAGGACCTAACTATCGGAATCTGTATATATATATATATATATATATATATATATATATATATATATATATATAGTGCTTTTAGCAAAGCTGAATTAAAATTCAACGAATATTTCAACTAATCCTAGTAATTTCTCATGTAATACATATTAGCTCCGCTTGGATATGGACAACTTTGTCATACTTAATTTTAATGAAAAAAATCACTTTATTCAATTTAGTGGGGGTTGAGAGAATGAGGACAGCTCCGTCAAAAACGTTCATAAACTACAATATGCACAGCCAGAGCGAAATTAGTGAGAAAAGTGAATGTTCTCAATGAAAGGTGAGTAAAAGTGAGATGGATCGAAAAAAGTGAGAAAAAGTAGTAATTACCCATACATTCTGACCTCTATTCATCAAGTGCCCTTTTATGTTACAACTTACACAAAAGCACCGACGTCGACAGGGTTACGAAGAAGTATGAGGTACACTTTTGTCGCATGTTGAATGTTACTAAAAGGTCAGCTATTATTTGATTTGAAATGTTGAACTATCGTGGAGAACTGGGTAGTATAGGTACCCTAGTACGGTATAGGATTTCGCCGATTTCAGATATTACGTATGAATACCATTCGAAATAAGTAAACATGGCCGACGCTTCATTTTCCTAAGGTAAATTGCACACTGTGTTTACGCCTCAAAACTTTCCTCCATGTGTATATTAATACTTATTTCCACATCAAGCGCATGCGCGACGAGACAGAGATGCCGATATCACGCCATTGCCATAGATTACACTGATACGACACCTGCTGTCGGTCCCTATCAGTGTAGCCAACCCTACAGTTTTAACTGTAGATCTACAGTTTTTTGGAAATTCTCTCACTTTTTAGTTTAGGCCTCGAAATCTACAGTTTTTTATTTAGGCTGCTAGCGTCATCTATTTTATTTGCTACGTATTCCGTACACTAAGTCAGCTGCAGTAAAACTTACTACTATCGAACCGGAGGTAATGGGCAACCAATTTAATAGATGGCGCTGGTGGTGGACAGTTGTATATCGTTTCGGTCAATGTCTATTTTACCGACATTCTATTGTTTACTTATTCGGGAATCCCTCAATTCCGTCATTCGTCTGATTAGATTCTTTTTTGTTCGGCTGACGTTGTGAGTTTAGCAAAAAGTTAGGAATATGCATAGCTGCAGTAGTGACAGTGAGTCAGATGTTGGTAAATCCCCACCAAGAAAGAAGAAAGTAGTGAGATACGAGCAAAAATTTATTGACTCTTGGCTCAGCGACGAAAAGTTTAGTGGATGGCTCGCAAAAAGTAAAAAAGGTAACACTTATTTTTACTGCTCTGCATGCGACTGTGATCGTAAATGCGGAATTCAAGAATTGACGAGACACAAAAATTCGTCAAAGCACCAAGCAAACTGTAAAAAAATACAAAAGCAACCTAAGCTTACATCTTTGTTCGCATCGACATCCAAATCACAGGAACCGCAGCAAATGGCAAAAGTCGGCGAAATTAAACTAGCATGTTTTATTGCGGAACACAACCTTGCATTTAATGTTGCCTCACATCTGACTAATTTAATAAAATCGGTGTGTCCAGATTCAAGAACTGCTGAATATTTGTCTATGAGCCGAACAAAAGCAAGAGCTATTGTAGTAAATGTGACAGGAAAAACCGCTGAAGAAAACTTGATAAAAAATTTAAGGGAAAACGAGTTTGCATTGCTGGTAGATGAGAGCACTGATAAGTCGACAATCAAGCATTTAGCTTTAATAGCGAGGCTAGTCAACACAAATTATGAAGTGGAAGATAAATTTCTAACTGTGATACCGATCACCGACGGGTCAGCTAAAGTTTTGTACCAAAAAACTGTCGAATATTTTAATGAGAAAGAAATTCCATACAAAAATAATTTGTTAGGATTTGCTTCTGATGGCGCCAATGTCATGTTCGGGGGGAATAACTCAATGATCACTCATTTGAAGAATGACATACCTAATCTTTTCACCATGAAATGTATATGCCATTCATTTGCGCTTTGCGCATCTCACGCATGTGAAAAATTACCGAGGGGTCTTGAAGATTTTTGCCGCGAAGTTTTCAATCACATCCAAAATTCACCTAAACGCATCGGTGATTATAAAACTTTTCAGGCGTTTACAAATATAAAACCACATAAAATATTACACCCTGCACAAACCAGATGGCTATCGTTGAACGATGTGGTGAATAGATTGTTGGAACAACTTCCAGCTATAAAATTATATTTCCAATCAGCTGTGCTTACAGATCGTCTTCTTTCTGCCAAAAGTATTTTAACAAAAGCCATGGAACCGACAACAGAATTATACTTGGAATTCCTACGATTTGCTTTACCAATATTCACAGATTTGAATAAAGAAATGCAGGCAGAAAAACCAAAGTTGTACTTATTATATGATCAGATCTACACAGCATATGTGACAATTTTAGAATGCTTTATACAACCGGTTTATTTAGAACTAACAGAAGAAGAGATAAACAAAGCCGAAGATATCTTAAATGCCAAAGAACAAAAAATATTAAGTGTTGATGTAAATGACGTGCGGATCCATTTGCCGTTATTGGAAACATACGTTGGAGGAATGTAAAGAGTTTTACATTGAGGCAGTAGCCCAAATCAAACAAAGGTTTCCTTTCGCTGATAAAGAACGTCAGGCACTAAAGTGTTTACAGATGTTGAACCCACAAGCGATTTTAGGTCATGACTTGAGCAAAAAACATATAACTTCAATTTCTGAATTATTATATTATTTCCCAAGTATTTGTCCAGAAAATATAACGGAATTAGATAGAGAATGGAGAACTCTTCGCAGGACCAATTTTAATTTTGACGAGACTGAGACGCCCAGTGTAGATAAATTTTGGTGGCATATTTCCAAATTGAAAAAAGGCGACGGCTCTGCAATGTTTCCACTATTATCGACTTTAACCAGAAAGCTTCTATGTTTGCCGCACAGTACTGCTACGGTAGAACGCTTGTTTTCGAGCATTAATGTTATGAAAACGAAACTAAGAAATAAACTTTCTACAACCACAATAAAAGGTACCTTGCACACAAAGTCCGAAATTAAAAATTGTTTCGAGTTCAATGTGACAAATGACCATTTGAAAAAGTTCAATAAAAATATGTACGATTTCAACCAAAATAAAGATGAAACGGAAAATCAAGAAGATTCACAAATTGAAAATGAGATAGCAGCTAGCTAGTGATATCATCTACTACTGATAGCTATGATTTTCAAGAGAAGGTTCCTGTTCTCTGTTCTCATGTTCTGTTCCTGTTAGATTAGCATTTTCATACTAGTTTTTGACATTTCATTTGATTAAAACTTTGATAAATACATGCTTTTTATTATTTTTAATTCCCTCCCTATAATGTATTCTATTTATTACTATCATTAAATAATACAAAATAATAAAAAGATAAAGATGTAGATTTACAGTTTTTTAAATTGGTATTTACAGTTTTCTGCAGTTTTTTTCAAGCATATCTACAGTTTTGCTCTATGCTGGGGTTGGCAACACTGGTCCCTATAATCGTCCTGTCCCCAACTGCTTACCACATTTCCCGCTTCTGTTCATTAGGAACGAGATGATTTTTTCCTAGGGGTTGTTACGCTTTATTAGCCTGACGTCCGAATGTCATACGTCAAACAACAGCATCAAGAAATTTATTTGTGTTTATCATTTACCCACATGGCTTTTGGCGAGATAATTATTATTATTTCTATATATTGAATATAACCAAAACCAAAAAGCACCAAAAACCGAAACTGAATGTTTTTGATAACCTCTAAATCCTAAATGTCACACTAACACGAATCCCACCAAACGTATAGGACTCAAGTTGGCGTTGATAGAACCTGATTTTTGACAGAGTGTCGCCTCTGCTAGTACTCTGTGCCATTGCAATTAATCAGACAGACTTCACTTGTAAAATCTTCAACAATAAACACGCATTCCTTTGAGCGGGTGTTTCCTTCATGAGCCACCGTTCATCAGCAGCAAAACTACAAAACACACTGTGGAAACTCATCTTTATCACAGCCTCTATTTGCACTCGCACACATGAAGTAGGTAATAAAGGCTACTTTTTCATTTACTTTCTGGGAATATTCGATTTTTAGCACAAACGGTCCACATTGGCCACCAACTGCATTTCTGACACAGCCATATTTTATATTGAAGGTCGATAAAAGGTATCACAGTGACTTTGGCAAGCAAAGTTGTAGAACACTCCTACGTTACACGGAAAATTTCGAGGTGGTGGGACAGAACTAAGAAACGTAAATCTTGAGACGAATGCCACGCAATCAGTATTAATTGTGGTTAATATCTTCAGAATTTACAGATGATTCCGTCAGTGGATTTTTACGTAACTTTGTGCATCCACACTACTGGGATCAGACAAAATCGGTGAAAACATTGCTGTTATCTCTTATCACTTACCTAATGTAGTAACTAGTATCCGGGTGTGCAGGCCCTAAAATTCGTTCCCTAATCACTAACGCCTGCATTCTCATTTGGTCAGGATCAGCCATCAAGTCATCTAATTGCTCTGGATCTGTGATTTCTCTTGCAAAATCGTACGCAGCTACAGCCTGGGTTAAATGTTTCGGAATGAGTGGGCCATCTCCATGATACCTGCAACAGAAGTATTACTAGCAACATGAAAACTGAAACAACGTTTACTCATGCTGAATAGGCTAAGTTTGATTTTTATTTCTGTAACTACGGAACAATGCTTCGTAGGTCTAGTCTTAGAAACAGACAAACGGATATGCTCAACTGAAAAACGCGGTGTCTAGTGCACGAATAGGTAACATTGCCACCAATGAGTAGTTTGCCAAAGCCGAGTCCCTACCCGACCCATAGGTGGGTAGCAGGAAACCCGTATGTCTCCCAGCATCTCTGAAATGGTCTCGCCATCATCGGGCGTTGCTGCGGTGGCGACATTTCACCGCTCGCACGGGTATTACGTTCTTGAAAAGTGACATTATGCCGATTTTTTTTGACATTATGCTGTTTTTTTTTGACATTATGTAGGTTTTTTGCCAAGACGTTGACTTAGCACTTAGTTGTAGGTGTTGCCTAAACGTCATGAGGCTTGTTATCAATCTTTGGCTCTGATGTGATGTAAAATCTGCTTCTGAGATGGCATTACTGGAGGTCTAAAGCTGTAAGTTGTATGTGTTGATGATAACTACATTGGGTTCTTATCCCAAATACACTTAATTGAGATTCAAAGCTAGAAATTAGTTGCGCATCCACTTTTTCTTATCCATTCTGGAAATTAAATATATAAATTTGCTGAATTTCAAAAATGAGAGAGATAAGAAACAATTATATTCACTGTACACTGTTGAATTACAAGCCATATACATGCTAACAGTAATTACACACAACGCGGGCGCGGTGATGACTTCCCGTAATTCAGATCCGTTTTTCGTAAGTTATAACTTTGAACATAACCTCTCTTCAGAAAGCACAACATAATAATAACTCATCGGGCACAGCCAATAGATATACTTCATTGGCAGCATATTCAGTAATGATTTTCTCACACAGCAAATATGACTGATTTTATACACATGCACACGAATACGCATTAGATTGGACGTTCACAACAATCCTAGTGAACAAACGTGGAATGACTGTTTGAGCCCTAAAAACTACCTAGTTTGCAAGATGACAGCTTATAGGTTTTTTTTGACGTTTTATAGGTTTTTTACATGATACCCATGCCGGCATGCCCTTCTTCGGGTCGCAGTATCGTCGTCGTGATTCTGATTGATCAAGAGAACTCCTCTTCGATTACTGGCATCGATCCCTTTAAAATGAATAACCACACTACTAGGGTATCACAATTCCAGGGTCTAGATTCGAACTTGCAGGGTTTCCAGCCCTTCGTGGGCCTCTTTAGCCAGACCTGCGGTGCAGCGGCTCGAAATTACATTTCCCGTCCGCAGTGCATACTGGCATATAGCAGCACAAATTAACGATATTAACGTCTCAATGGCCTTTTATCTCACTGGCAGAGATCTTGTGGGACAATCCGCCCAATGAGCCGAGTCGGTGGAAAGCAGCTTTCCACTGTTATAAAGCCACGATGTACATATCACAGTCAGTGCAGATATACACAGTTTTAACGGGTTGTTTTCCCCCGTAAATCCTAGGACGTATGTATATGTCCTCCCTCAGGACGCATTCATACGCCCTGAGCCCTATTACAACCACAAGGCTTAAAATTTGATTTAAATCATTTCATTCAAAATAATATATTTTATTCAGAAAATCAAAACCGTCGAGTTTCATGTATCTCGTTGTGTAACATCACGCCACAAAAACTATGGAATCTCAGAAAAAACTTTAGGTTTGTTGTTGTTGCAATCGAGGCAGTATGTTGAGAACAATATCATATTTACAACAGGGCAATATCCCTAATTTAGCCATATCAGAATTATAAATCAGTAGCATGAGATAGCGCGAATACAAGATGATTTCGTCCTTCCGACCAAGAAAAGAAGACAACCAACCATGGACAGCTGTTTCGTGCTTCTTAGCTACTCATCGGCATGGGATAGGCTTGGTCTCTTATCTCTGGACGAACAAACGAAAGCATCACAATTATCTTCTATACCGGTTTACAGCATGAGATAGCGCGAGACGCCATCTATCGCACCAGAATCGTACCATTGTGGATCGCGCGCAGCTGCTATTAGTCGGAACTGTCATGGATCTCAGTTCCCGTTTAATAGCCGTGCCGCTACATGGTTGATGTTTCTGGCTGAATGTAGAAGTGGTCCACTGGCCATTGAACAGGTTAATCATATATATATATATATATATATATATATATATATATATTTACATCTCCATGTGGATCGGTAATCCTTTCAATTCCCAGCAATAAGTCACCTACCAGAAATATCGAATATATATCAAATTTGATTCGTGTATATCCAACAAAAAGGCAAACTGATCCAGGATCAGCTCAAAAAACTGTACATTAACATTTCGGATTTTCATATAAAGTCCGCTATATAGGTCTACCTTTTAAAAACCGTAAGATGTGTCCTCTACCGGAATACCCTTCAGATCACAAAACGGCATTCGGTCCCCCAGAATACTCAAATTAACTAAACACCAGTAGATAAGTCATCCGTGCAGTGGTGCCAAGTTTCATTTATTTCTCTTTACATAATACTACTGAAGTCTCCTAACTTGGACTTGTATTATTATATTATTTTTCAAGGATCTCCAATGGATATAACCAAAATTCTTTCCAGCAACTTTGAGTACACTATTTGCTCGATTAAGACTATACAAAACGTTGCTAGCATACGACAGAAGGATGCCCAACGTTTCGTAAATTATAACTTACCTATGCAAAAATTATCAGATCATCGAGCAGCCCACACAATCAAGAATACTTTTTTCTATTACATGTCCAGGAGGTTGTATGAACTTTCAGATCGAGCACTTTGCTTTTCCAATAGCCTATGTCGTATCGACGACATCCTAATGATGATAAGCTTTAGACGCGTAATTTCCAAATCTGTGATATTAGCAGTTGAAATACTTCCCTGCCCTCCGGTTCGCAAAAAACAGCATTGAGTATCCTAAAATACTTGAATTACCTAATCACTATACTGAGCCTTACAATCATGTGACGTTATCTTTGGATAAGGAAATCACCATTCATGTTTGGTACCATCTATCTATGAGAATATTCCTAATCTTGAAATAAAATCGTATATCAACGATTTTCTCTAATAGCTCAGACTTAACCATATAGTCACGCCAACCAAAAGCCATATGATACAATCGTCCATCAAAATACCTTCGGATTCACAAAAAAACAGCACTGAGTCTCCCAAAATACTTGAATTTACTAAACCCTGCTAGATCGGTCTTCCGTGCAGAATAAATACACTTCTACCCTACGATTCACAAGAAACCAGCACTGAGTCTCCCAAAATACTTGAATTTACTAAACACTGCTAGATCGGTCTTCCATGCAGAATACTCTTCTACCATACGATTCACAAGAAACCAGCACTGAGTCTCCCAAAATACTCGAATTAACTAAACACTGGTGGATCAATCTCCCATGAAGAATACTCTTCAATACGCAAACCAGTGCTGAGTCCTCCACAATACCCGAACTAGCTGAATGGCGTACGTCTGACGTCAGATCGGTCTCCCGATCATTTTAATTCCAGTCAATAAAGCGCGTGCGCCCGGGGATAGGGTTTGTCGGTTTGTCTAAGATCTGAGAATTCATTTTATTGGCACCAATCGTGCTGGAAGGACGTTCAAATCTGTTGTGTATTCAAGAGTGTGTCTGAAAGGACTGTTGAGGTAAGTATGACTTTTTGAACTCTTATGCAATCGTTAATAGGATATGATGGTAATATGACTGTATTACTTACATTTAATGGAAAAGCAATGAATATTGAGTAGCGTGAAGGATAAAACAATGCTGTTCAAAAGGTCAACCCCCATAAATTTTACGCCAAACTTTATCTAATCTTGTTGGTTTAGTTTTGTATAGGTGATTCTTGAATGTAAAGCTACAATGTTTTTTTTTTCAAGTTAAAGAACAGGGTCAAGTAGATTGAGTGTGACCATACATCACTGAAAATTTAAAAATAGAATACTTCAATCAAAGCTCATTTTGGCTTTTTTCTAGCTGCTGCTTTACATCTTTTTTAGGGTACATACCTGTATATGTACTGATTCCGTTTTTTGCATTATAATACAAAATCACTACAGACTGTGCTTTTGACTCACGGTGTCAAGTAGCTCGACTTTATATGTAGACAATGATAATTTTAAACGGGAGATTGTGTTGATTATTTCCTATATGGTACAGTAGCGGGGTGATAAAATTCTAAATCTAAAATTGCAAATCAGAGATATCATGTTTTACTTCCCACGTCAACGGTCGAGGAAGTATTGTAATCGCAAGATATTTTGAAAGTGAGGTATTATGTTTTGTTGGATGCTATATGACATGTAGATCACGGAAAACCATGATACTCATTTCTGCTATAACGTGGAAAGTACCATTGGGACTTTGATGAAATTTAGACACAAGGTTGCTACGAGGCTATGGACAAGAAAGCTTTAGCTTTTAAAAATAGGTCCAGTGGCGTCAGAGAAAAGGGCCACAAACGAAAAAATAGAAATCGCTCAAACTTTGTTTTTTGACGATTCAGGGGCTCTTGATCATTATCCAAATAAATTTTGAGGGTTAGGAGTTGATGAGGGAGTGAATCGTAATTTCCTAAGGTTTTCTATCGGATCTATTTGACATATCTGACTTTATCAAACATTTGCGTAGAAAACAGGAAATCATACCTATTTCCTGTATCTGTACACTCAAAAATTTCTAGTGTTAATGCATGGATATAGTGTTTAATGATAACACATTACGTATTATTGAGTTTGGTAAAATTTCGAACATCATTCACTGGTATTGCTACTAGAATCAATTAAAAATAAAGTATTTTACTTTGACAATCAACATATACTATTGCTGCACGGAAAAAAATGGCTTGTGGATGTCAGTTCATTGGGAAAAAAGCTAATGACAAAAATTACTCTAATATAATTGGCTTTTTGACATTTTTGAGAGC